TTTCCGATTACATAGTCAACAGCAGCTTGAGAAAGTCAGAAATGTCAACAACCATAGTGTGTTTACTCGATCAATTATTTTCGACCTAATAAAGGTTGTTTTCTCGGAGAGAAAAGAACTGAACCTCGTATCAGTCTCGTACTTTTATTTCTGCCCTAAGCCATCACAAAAAAAAAATTACTGAGAAGCGAAGGAAATTAAATCCGTTCTAATGACAGATTTTCTTTCGACTTCATTTACTCCGCGAGAGATCAAACATGGAGCGAAGCTGTGTGGTGGTTCGAGGCTGAACAAGAACGACACTGTGCCACACTGGAAAGTAACAGAGGCAGTGTGTCGATAAACTCAAGAACTCTGATGAAGATTGTTGACCTAGATAAAATAAACGACTGCTGAAACAATCGATTTCCCGACAACCATCAGTTTGCAATGTTAAATATCCAATTTGCGTTGTAAATAAAACGCACTTGTGGTTTAGGTGCAAACATGCTGCGAGAAATTCTTTTCCCAGTGAACGAGGGGAATACAGAAGTACATTAACGCCGGCAAATTAGCAAGCCTTGGCGGGAAATCAAATTCCAGGTACCAGTGCTCGGTGCATGCTAACGCACATTCCCATTGGGGAACTTGACGGTTCGCACTTCATGTTACTTCATAAATGAATCGATTCGATCACTTAGTCTTGTTCGTCTCTTCAAGGCTGCATTGCTGTGTCCGACAGCTCTGCTACGGTCACAAGTTCAGTCTCATCAATTGGACTATCTATATAAATGAATTTCATTATAAAATCTGAATTATTTGGTTCTATAATTTTTTTTTTGTCACTTATTTATCGTAGTAATTTGCCTAATACTAGTATGATCAAGTATAAAGGCGTGTCATGATCTCCGAATGTCATACATCCGGGTATTTTCTGTGTCCCCGGGAAATACAAGTACTCGAATGCGTGACCTTCACAGATAGAATGAAACTCAGGTGTGAGCTAAGACCGTGGTCTGATACATGTATGCAACGATAGATGAATAGAGAATAGTCAAAACAGTGCTTGTTTTGTTTGTCTTTGATGTTGTGTTTTCTTATTTTTCTTAGTTTATTTAAGTGTGTTTGTGCCGCGCGACGATTTGTCTTATTGCAGTAAGGACGAAAAAATATTTGTCGATAATTATATTGTTGTCGATGACCTAATTAGATTATGCGATTTGGACAAAAATATGTTTTTAATATTGTTGTAATATACTCTATACTGTGGACCAATTCGGCTATTATTTACCACAAACTAAAAATGCTCGCAAGACACACAACACACACATGATTAATTATTGTAATTTGTGAACCTCTAAGTCTGTGACTTTTATCATCTTTCACAAGTACTAGACTAAGTCAAGATTCGAAACCAATGAAAAATAAAAAAAAAAATAACAAGACATTACAGAAAACTACGACAATATACCTCATATAACCATGGTAACAGTTATAACTCTATAATGGGAGAGAATGGTGAACTGTCTCTGTAATATTAGCTACGATCATAAAATTATACGAGGGGAGAACGACAGTCATTTCCATTTTTTTTATATAATACATGTATATAGTTTGTACACTATATTTTCTTTGACAACTAATTTAAGCGTAGAATGTGTACTATTATGCAACTAAACGCCGAATCCCCGGGACGTCGAGGATGCGCGATTCGCGATTCAATGTTCGCCGTTGGAGATCATTTCCGGTTCCATTTAAGACAGCATTATTGACGGTGTATAGAATGCGGAATTGTGGGCCACTTCTGTGACGGAAAATGTGTGTTCGACAGAAACACTATATCTTGATAATTTGCTGACCTTGATAATTTGCTGACCTTGCGAATCTCGTGGAGTGTGTCTTTTATTTAGAATGTATTGAGAGCATGGGACACCTGCTTGGCATTTGTTTGATTTCGTGTAATTTCGCTTTAGAATGCATACGACGACTTTCTAGGTAGGCTGTAAAGAGTCGTTCCAGCAATAAAGTTATGTTCTGACTCGTGGAAAATAAACATTCCGTCCCCTTTTCTTATTCGAGTCACGACACTCATTGTGGTTCAGCCTCGGTGTGAATGCCGAAGCAAATATACATATCTGATGTGCTTATTATTTATACTCGAAGGATTTCTACGTCTAATTCTGCATGTGGTGCTTACAGACCTGACCTTCTGGATATCTATGCTGTGCTATCTGATCAGCATTTTAGTCTGTGTGCTAATAATTGTTCACCGATCGCAACTATTCTTAGTTACACTCATGATGATGCCCGGTACTATTTATAAAAATAGCCTTTGATACATTCCAGACCACAATCCCGTTCTTTTCTTTTTCTTTTTTATATAAATATTTATAAATTTCAATTCAAACTAAAACTTGATATTTCCATTGGGCGACGAAATAACATAGGAACTTCAAATCTGTTATTGATTGGCTTAGCTCACGCAATATCTGTTTTATAGGTGTTACTTCATTGCTCAACGCGTTCGTTGATTGGCTGGTTGGATTCAACTTCCATTGAAATATATGAACATTTATAAAAAAAAAAGAGAGAGGGAGAGAGACAACGAGAAGACAAAATAATATTGACTTTATTTTCTCAAAGTAGTACACATACACCGGAAATAATTTCATTTCTTAATTCATTCATGGAAATATCATTGGCAAATTTAGATGGGGGCCGAATGCCCCCCCCCCTATTTTTAACAATCAGTGACAGAGCTTCGCGCCATCGGCGCTCGCGAACTTGGCCTTAGGCCAACTTATCGCCCCCCCTATTCCAGAATCCTAGATCCGCCCCTGAATATGTACTCATATACTGCATATACAGAAGTGAATATGTCGTTTGCGTGATTCAAATGACGTGTTTGTCCGAGTACTTCACCACATTCGCCATGTTGTTCCAGCTATATCGTGAGTAGTGTTATATTCGTATATTCAATATTCGGTGGCGCAATTGAACCGAATACCACACCCAAGTTGCACTCTGGAATCATTCATGTTGCTTTATTGCAGTATTGAGACTACTAGTATTATGGGGCATACGCGATGGTGTAAGTATGCGCGAATCATAGCGAACCCACTGCCATGCTCGCCGAAACACTTTTCAAATGCACTAGCAAACAATGGGAAGCCGAAACAATTCATACTAAACGTTCAATTCCCAATGATATTCACGCGCTCAAATGTTGGTGATCGTTTTGACTTGCTCCGATGTCATTTGGTATTCTTAAGTCATTGTACGAGGATACCGGACATAGAGTCTGCAGCATGAGAGCTACACATATTTCTAAAAGCGGGAGGGACTTCACCTATGCCCGCGCGGGAATTGAGTCCCAGGCGATGATAACAAGCAACATACACTTAGAACGCAAATGCTCATGGGTAGACGCTTGTTTGTAAACAATGACACGCTATGGCCAACTGACGCATGCGTAGGTGACGACTCCCCCGCTTTAATATATGAGCCAAATGTTACATAGTAATATAAACTTGATTTAGAGTCTGGGGGTAATTTCATTAGGTACTACATCATGATAAATCAATGTTTTGTTTTAAAAGAGAATACTTTAA